AGATGGCACAGGCAGGCTGTAGCACTCTCCTCCGCTCCAAACACAAGATTTCCTTGAGAAATAACCATAGTTAATGTTCTCAACTACCTCCAAGCCAAAATATACACTATGTAGTAGAGACCCTACTGATGTTGTGTTGTGGTTTCCAAACATTGTACAGTAAAAGGCGAAAGTGATTCAAGAAGAGTAATGCCAAGGTCCACTGATTCATGTGGACTGGAAACTTAGGAGTAGCCAAAAAGGGAGGAGGAACAAAGCTGGCCTGTAGGACATTGCTCTTGATTATACTTGACCTGTTTTAGTTGAAGTAATGCTGTTTGCCTCTAGCGACAAGCATTTCCTAACGTATTTTACCATTACTAGTTATTGAATGGTGTGTGTAGGCTGGCCCCCGCACAGTTCTCATTTAGGGCATCCTTTTGACTCTAAATAACTGCCTCAGCAGTGGTTTTTAAAGGATAGTGGTATATGGAGTTTTGAGATTACTTATGTACTTTGCAAAAAGAGATCCATCAGCTGGGATACTGACCCTGGAAGCTACCCTGGAATATGTTTTAGATGTTTACAATGTTCTGCCAAAGAACATCTGATTTTGTTTATTGCCACTGAGTGGTGGGGGCTCTGCTGATATAAATCAATCCTGATCCTGCTTAAGTCCATTTGACAAGATGCTTAAGACAAATAACTTGATCTTATTAATAGATAAAAGGAAACAGTATCCTTAAGAACTGTTACTAAAGCATAAAATTAGAAGCGGTGGTTGCTCATTTAGAGCTCTCCTTTATCAATGTAATTTTTAGTACAAGATGGAAAGTTTTACTGGTCTGTTACTATCCAGACACTGGATAGTAGTGCTCAGTTATCCTGAAAATTATGTTGGAGTTTGGCCTCAGTGAAATGCTTTGAAACAAAATATTTTAAAAAATGTTTATTAATTCCCTCTAGAAATCTCCCTCTTTGCTGTCTCACGGTACAAATTCATATGTGTTAATTTGGAAGTGGCATATCTGTGATTGTTCATTACTCAGGATAACCCTTGCCAAGTCCCCAAAACTTTAGGAGCAAAAGAGAGTCCTGAGAGCTGGGGGAGAAGTGATGGCTGCCTGGCCCTGATGATCACCTCAAGCCTGATCCGGTAGGACTGGCTAAAAGGGTGAGATAGGGCCCCTGGAGGATTGCCAGCAAGTCACCAATTAATACTAATTGCATGGGAAATTACTGTAAGGCTGCGATGGTTCATCAGGGACCTGGAATCAGTTCATAGCTGTGCTGCACCCAAGGGCTGTGTGTCCCTTGGTATTTGCTTCAAGAAGAAAGCACATTGTTGCTTGCTGCTCCATTCAGTTGCAATCTTTTAAGACCAGAACTATAATTAATGTGGAGGAATGTGAAAGAGCTCATCTGTCGTGGAGCTTGGCTTGGGAATATATGAGTTAAACTGTAGTACTCTAATAGGGTTCAGCCAGACCAGATTGCTTCTCATTTTCTGATAGGAAAGAAAACAAAGCTGAAGTTGCACAAAATATATGCACGATAGTCCTTTCAAAACAAGAAAACTATGGACATCTGATTTTAAAAGAACTTTCAGCTTTGCCTCACTGATTTCCAAGGAAAGCTTTGCAGAAAACTGAGCTTTGAGGTGCTGCTATCATCTCCTCTTCCTAGTGACAGCTGTAAACATCTGCTGAGGATGTCATTCATTGTCTCCTCTTATAGTTGCTCATTAAATTCATGAAGCACCGTGCCTCCTTGAAAATTAAACTGGTAATACTGTGGGTCGGGAGTGAACAGCCAGCGTGCTCAGGGGCTGTCGAGTGTGGTTACCGAGAGGTCGAGAGCAGCTGCTGCTTCTGTGCTCTGTCCCGGGCATCGCGTCCAGGCAGGGAGAGGCGCTTTCCCGGGCAGTTCGGTGAGGAAGGTGGCAGCAGGTGGGGTGGGCAGGGCACGCTGCTGTGTCAGCGGGCGGCGATCTCGCCTCTTCGTCCTGCTTTCGAAAAGGCAGACAAGGCTTCCAAGTCCCAAATTGCATTTCATGTAACTCCTCCCCTATTTCGGCTGCTTGCTCATGCAGCCACCCACAGATTTGAAACAAAAATGTGCGAAGCGAGGCAGGGAGCCCTCTCGGCAGTGCAGATTCCATCTCCCCTCTCGGCGCCGGGGTGCCCGTCGTGCACTGACACCGTCTCACTCCTGAAGAGAATGAAGCCTTGGCTAATCACAAATACATAAGCATTTTTCTCCCATCCGTTCTCATCACCCTGTACTCCAAGAAGAAAAAGAAGATAAAAAAAAAGCGCGGGTCTGTGGATGAGCGTGTCTTTGTGGCACTGCTCATTCGGCGGGCTGACAGAGGCGGCATTGTTCGCAAGCTGTGCCCGGCTTGGCAGCCGGAGAAGGTGGATCTGCGCCGCGCATACGGAATCGGTGAGCGGTCGGGGACAGGGGTCGAGAAACTCTTGCGAGCTGCCTTAGCGACCGCAGGGAGTTCCAGAGCACCACTGATAGCTTCTCCTGGTGTCTTCTGCCCAATGCGAACTCGGATGAGGAGTCCTTGTTAATCAGAGGTAATGTTTTTATCTTTAGAGGAGCGTGGTAGAGATTGCTGCTATTCGGTTATTAATTAAAATAAGGGTGATACCACAGAGAGAAAAGTTGTGAAGTCTGCTGTACTTCTTAGGAGAATAAAGCTTCATGGTGGCATTGTGCTGCAGCTGAGGGTTGTTAAAGTTTGTCTGTTTCCCTTTATGTGAGCGTAGTTTGCATTACCAGTAATGAGAAAATCTGTATGTGTTCCTATCAGAGGCTGAAAAGGCCATTTAGTCTCCTTCTCCATCTTTCTTACTTTTTAAACCAGAAGTTGCTGTGTATATGCAATATTAAATTAATTTTGCTAATAGAAATACATCCACATATACCTATGAGGCAACGTAAATACTTCTTCCTATTACCAGAGACAACTTCTCACCCCTCAAGGCACTCTCTGGGGCACCAAGCATCCTGTACAGTAGTAAAAATTTAACATTTGCTCTACACAGCGCAGCAGAAAGAAAAACCATTGTTACATTTGGTTTTTTGGCCACTTTGCCATAACTATCATTACACAGACCGTGCCAAACAGATTTTACATTGTTGTGCAGGTATTTATCCTGTGTTCTCACTACTTCAATCCTATTTTTAGTAGTTTTAAATTACTATTATTATTTTAATTTTAAAGTAAAGGTATATTTTGTCTGAGTGTTTCTCCCAGTCTCTTTGCTGTTCTTATTGCTGTCCGTCCCTTGTAATTGTTAAGTCTGTTTTTTGAGAGTGTCTACTGCTATTTGGGGATGATAACGAACATAGTCTTAGAAGTGCAAGCCTAGTGGCTGTTGTTCATTTTGTGTGCCCAGGTTGACATGCTTTGGGGAAGAATGGGCTCAGCTGAGGTGGAGACTCCCCGACATAGCTCCAGATCTGGAGCTCTTAATTACATAAATAGTGGTTGAAAGATATTGGGGAATCTTTTTGTTGATTTTTTTTCTAAGGAGGGGTTAAAAAGAAGAGAGTATTAATTTCTGTACTGAAGAATGCTATTCTGTCAGTGCAGCACCGTTTGTTGCGTGTAATTTGGGAGAACATAGCTTGTACCTCCTGTTTGCCCAATGGCACGTAGCAGCCCCAGAGGACACACACCGCTTTTGTGCTCCTGTTCAGTTTTAATCTTTAGGGAGCAACTGTTTCAAAGAATAAACACATTGCCTTGTAGGAAAAACTCCAGAAAACATCCTGCTAGTGACAGCGGCAGCCGCTGCCCATCATGCTGGATGTCCCTCTGCCAAAAACGGCGGGGCTTTGTGAGCTGGCCAGCCAAAGGCTGGGAGTTGCAAGCTGTGTATCCCCAAGGATGGCTGCTATCTGCTGGCTCAAAATGCAGTATCTAGGTTTATCCTGGCCCTTGGCCTGAGGATTTGTGGCATCCCCTTTCTGCAGGAGTGTCTGCCCCACTAATCCCTATGCACCCTTCATGCTGCTTGGCAGTGGGGCTGTGTCAGGCACCAGGCAGGCAGGTAATGAGCCTTTGTGGCTTTTCCCACACACCCCTCCTTGCTGGGGGAGAGGGTAACTGGGGGCTCCAGCACTGGGGAGCTAAATCCTCGCTCCTCACCCCCCTTGGCTGGGCAGCAGGCCTGGATGATGCTGGATTCTGCATCCTGCCATTTTAACATTTTAACAATGCCCTTTGCATCAAGGAGACAGGTTCTAGACAACACCTGCTACAGTAAAGAAGGACATTTTAAAGTAATAATAAGTATGTATAGACCTGCCTAAGAGTTTTTTAACCTATCAAAGGAGAGATATTTATGGTCATTACCTCTGTGAGAGAGAGAAGTGAGACCCTGAATCAGACTCTGTGTCTTTCATTGATTTTCTTGTGCTTGTCAGGGGCAAGCAAGTATGGAAATCCCAAATTGCTTGTCTGCACAAGCAAAAAAAAGAAGCCAGAATAATTAAAGGGGTTGCAATTTCCAAAAGTTTTTCGGTGAATGCCTTACTAGAGGCATTCATATCAGGAAATAAAAACATATGTGAATAAATATATTTTAGGTTAAATCAAAATTGGTTATTTTTTATTGTGAATACACTGCCTTATACTGATACTTAGCCTGTTACTTTCATTTTAATGCTATGTTTTAACTGGCAAACGAAGTTTCATTTGCTGTTAGTTTAAAAAAGCGGAGTAAATACATCTCCCACACATAACATAATCTTGCATAAAGTTCACTTGCTAGATGCTGCGTGCCTCATTTATACAGCAACTTTTATAACCCATTTCCTCCAGAGTATATGACACTAAGTGGGCAGGTTCAATTTAAAATAAATAGCTTTTGCTTCCAAAGTTAACTTTGGTCTATTGTATATGTTTCTGTAAACAAAAAGATGCAGTAGAGTTTGTGATGGACGTAAGCACAGGCAGGGTTTTCGTGGTAATGTCTTAACCAGAGCTTCTTCGTTTTTTTCAGGCCAGAAGCTTTTGCTTCCTCAGTGGGAGAGCCTATATGAAGACCTGCGTGGATGATGTTATAAAGTAAGGAATACAGCCACTGAGAGCTGGGATTTTTAAGTTCTTAATTTTGCACTGCTACAGAGTTTCTGTGTGAGAAGTTGCTTCACTATGCATCTGATTTCTTCTCAGGAAGACTTGCATATGGTTGTGCTTTGTTGTTTGGTAGTAACAAATACATGAGCAAAATTAACTGTTTACCATGTAGATGATGATATGTCTTAAATTATGTTGAATTTCACTGTTGTGTGAAGTTTTTATGCATACTCTTTCTGTCCTGCAAGCCTCAAATGGTCTCTTTGGGGAGAGGCTCGTGCTGTGTATCTGGTGTACCTCTTGGTGCAGCATCGCTCACAGTGTTTTATTCAACTTTGTAGTGTTACATTAAGACCGGAGTGTATAGTGGGTTTTTTGATTCCCAGAAACACTGTCATTTTGTAGCCTTCCCCTGCCAGCTTTAGTGTCACCTTTCCTTGTCCCCTTCTCTCTTCGCCATCTGGGCAGCAGCTCCCATCATCTCTACTTCCCTGCAGACACGGTGTGCTCAAGGCTTTTATCTTCAGGCAGACTGATGATCAGCAGACAGCACCATTCTTACCTCCTCTCTCAGGGCCTATGTCCGTCCTGTTTTACTATACCTCAGGCACTGAGTGAGCAAATAAATTGTCAATAAATAAAGAATCTATTTGAAATATGATGATTGGAAAATGTGGAACTCTTCTGATTTGGGGTCCTAAAAGACAGGCTTTCGTGCCAGTGCTGGGCAGATCACACAGCCTGCATGGATATTACAGAGTCCAACAGTGTTAGTATAGTATAGCTGTGCTGCATATTTCCTTAATCTGCTTGTTTAGAGACACCCAGAATATTCATCTTAATCATCTCTTTCCGCTGCATGGTAGGTACAGGAGGAAATACCACAGAGAGCCCTGTCATTGGGAAAATGTATCATTTGAATGTGCAATGTAAATATTTTAACTAACCAAATGTAAACACTGCTTTGCCTTTAGGATGGGAAAAGACTGTCACAGTCAGAAACAAGCTGACATAAGAGTGACCCTGTATAGATGAGATACAAAATTGTGTTCACACATTTTGGTAATCAAAACAGAGCCCTTAATGAATTGCCTAGTGTGAAAGGAATTACAAACACAAATATGCCTGACACAAGGCATTCAGAAGTCGTTGCTATATTAATGTTAAAAGGAAGGACTTTACAGGATTCATGAGGATCCGAGGTCCATGGGAGGGATGATGTGAGATGAGAGAGATAGGATGATGAGAGATGTGATGTGGTAAGAGCTAGACAAAGGCTGAAGATTTTATGGAGGGGAACCTAAGCAGTAAGTATGCTCCAGCTATCCATGCCACTCCATGCCACTGGCTATGACACTTTATTGATGATCTGGATGAGGGGATTGAGTCTACCCTTAGTAAATTAGTTTGACATGAGGAAGAATTTCTTCACAGAAAGACATTTGAATGGTCTTCCCAGGGAGGTGATGGAGTCACCACCCCTGGAGGTGTTTAAGGAAAGACTGGACTTGGCACTTAGTGCCACGGTCTAGTTGACATGGTGGTGTTCAGCGGTCCTTTCCAACCTAATTGATTCTATGATTCTGTGTTCACCATGCCAGGAGAGTTAATTCAGAAGTTTCCAAGGGTTAGAAGATGGTAGAGGCAACAAAGATACTAGATAGAGCAAGAAGCACCTTTATTGCATTCACAGACATGCTGTGGGTTTTTCAGTTGGTGGATTCAAAGAAAAGCAGAGTTCTTAGGGAGCTCAGAGCTCATTAGCTCTGCCTATGCTGGCTTCAGAAGTGCTTGAAGACTTATGTCCAAGTGGTACTTGATAGAAACCAGACACGCAGTTTAACTTTTGGTGCTGAATATGGTCCTGGAAAACAGTGCTATAACATAGGATCCAAAATCCTCCAGATTCCACTTGACTTCATCATACAGAAAATGGTCTTTGGGCGTTCATCAGATTGCTAAGCAGAAGAAACATCTGGAGATGATTTTATTTGCTATATGTTCTAGCCCATGGATTATTAATATCAAAAGAGGAAGAAACAACACAGAGGATTTGTCTGGACTCCATGGATTGTGAGAAACTAGTTAGATCTTATTCCTACAGGCACAGGTATATGTAAATGACCAAGCGGGTAAGCTTCCATTACTGCAATAGCTGAGGGATTTTTTTAAAGTTGATTTTTGCTTGTATTACCAACAATGGGTAATATATTAACATCTGCCTCATATTTGCTATTTCTTTGTTCTAACAGCTGGAAATTTACATTTACACATTGGCCTCAGAGCTAAAAGTGTCATTCCCTAAGTTAAAAACCCATAATGATTTTTGTTGTTCTCTTTTATAGGAAAGGAGAACTGAAAACATAGGGAAAAGACAAATGGGAAGGGTAGCCCCCAGATGATAAATGCTTTCAGTTGGAGCACAGATTAATCATAGAGAGTGTAGCCTCAAGAGTGTCATTGTCTGCCATTACTACAGCAATTTAACTATAGCCAAATCGAATAAGAGTAAAAATTATCTAAAGTAGAGGAAACCAAATACTTATGTCATCAGGAATGAGGAAAATACAGTGGCATTTTTTTCAATACAGAGGAAATTAAGAGCCTTTCTTGTGCGGTTGAGAAGTGTTTTGCATAGATGAGAATAACTTTGACATTATCACAGGATCAAACTTCTGTTGCTAGAAAGTCTAATCATTTTATGCAATAACTTTGTGTAACTGTTCTCTTGAATACAGATAATCCATATCTGCTCTACCTCCCAGACAGATGTATCAGTTTTCGTGGGAAAGCATGAATACAGTCAAAAGTGAGAACTTAATTTTTTTGCTTTATGAGCAGGAAGCTCATATACTTTATATACTTTAGCTAAAGTGCTGTATTGTGCCTTTTTTTTTTTTTTAAGGATCTAAAATTAGATCCTATGTTTTAGCACAGGGAAAAAGGTAGGAACAGATTACTCTGAAATGCTGAATTCATAGCATCATTTTTCTAAAATAAAGTCACATTATTTGAAAGCTGATGAGAGATAGGAAATTTAAGAAGGGAAGTGCAGTTGAAAAATTTTTGAAAGGAGAGTGTAAACTTCAGGGTGGAAAGGAATTAGATAAAGGAATCTGTGAGAATGGAAATAATTATGTGAAGGGAACAGACTGTGCTGGTGATATCTTTTGGCCTAGGTTTTGAAAAGAATTCAGAATATGATCTGCAATCTCTGTCTTTGGGAGGGGGAATGGGAGTTCTTCCATTTTACGGTAAAGTGGAGTAAGAATGTCATTGCCCCACCTGTTAAAATATTTTGAAATCTACTTCAAAGTGATTATTTATTGCAGTGTTATAGACTATTGTGAACAGAAAAACTATAGAAATTGGAATCAATCCCAAAAAGTGGGGTGAAAGCATAATTTATTCTTCCCTGAGAGGGGAATGGGACTGCTAGTCCAGTTTGGCTCATTCTAGATCAGTTCTCTGAGAGACTGCTTTCTAGAAAGACTCTTTGGATATATCTGTAAGTCAACAAGTCTCAAGGTTCAAATCTGCAAGGGGAACTTGGAAGCGTCCATTGAAGCCAAGGGTAAATAGGATGCATATTTTGAGGCTGAAAGTGCCATCTGAGTGTGGCTTTACAAAGCAGAGGACCATGGAATCCCAAGCATCTCTGGTATATACTTGAGAACAGACTTATGTAAGGCAGTGTTTCTGCAGAAGGTGGATGGGCTACCTGAGCTGCTCCTGTGCCTGCAGCTGCTTCAGAAGCCACTTTTTCATCATGATCTCTTCCTGATTAGTCATTTTCTATGTAAAAGTCTTCACATTCATATCTATATAACTGATTCCAGATGAACAGCAATAACTTTCAGCGTTAGATAAATCTGTCTGTGAGATGAATTTATGGTTGCGCTGTTGTGGACTGTCAGTAGCCTTAGACAACCTGCTGTCATCAGACTGTCTTGGTTTCTTAGTTTTGCTCTTGTGGCACAGCCAAGTCCATTTCAGTGTATGTGAATTAAGGAGAGTATGCTCTAATAATATTTTATATTTACACAGCACCTCTCATCCCAGAGTACTTTATAAATCATGTATATTCAACACTACTGACCTTTTGCAGTCCCTTGAGAGCAGGAGAACAACCATTTTACAAAAGCAATAAAACCATAGGAATTTTTTTTCTGTAATTCTGGGGGAACTCAATAATTACAGAATGAATCTGTTCCCTAAGCTACAGCTTCAGTTTGTAAAGACCTTTATTGAGAATTTCTTCAAGATAAGATGCATGATCCTACATTTTGTGTACACCATGAACAAAGAGCTAATCCATCCTTCCAGGACTGGACCCATGGAAATATTTCATTCTTATATCTAAATGAACATAAAAGTGTCACTACATCTATACCTTGGCTGTCATTTTATCAGTAAATTGTCACCTCTTCCTGCAGCATCTGCCCAAAATGCTATAGTCTGCATTCCCCCTCAGCTGCTGTGAATCCTCCCATCACAGGGTGAGAGATACAGCAAAACAGATACATCAGAAAACCTATTTACTTGCTTTTGACGAATTCAAATGTAACTGATCCTCTGAGGTATCAAGCTGAAGAAATTCAGCATGTCTGTGCATTGGGCCAGCATATGCAGAGGAGAGATGAGCAAGACCAAAGGAACAAGGAGGAGGAGGAGGATAGCAATAAATTCATCGTCCTGGCATTCAGTGCCCCTTCCTGTAAACATCAAGAGGATGATCTGAAGCCTCAGTGTATGTCCCTGCAGCACTGGAGCTATGGGGAATGGCAGTGGTCGGTGAGGAAGTGTGTGAGGTCCTTTGTCTGCCTGGGGCATCCTTGTGGTGCACAGAGGCTCAGCTTATGTGCAGGACTATCTCAGTGGGGTCAGATTCCCTCTACTTTGAGTAAAAATTCCAGAGGAGCTGCTTTGTTAATTTTAAATAAGAAAATAGATATGCAGACTTTTCTAGTACAGTCTTTGCCAGACCA